TGGAAGAATCTCCGACATGTTAAAATATATTTTCTTAATTATAGAAATAAAGGATAAATTTCACTCTTATATTATAATGGGAATAATTATCTGTAATCAAACTTCTCAGTTTTAGTGCGTTAATGAGATTGCCAAAGAATATAATCACAGATTACAGAGCATTCTCTTTCTTATTAAGCTATTTAAACAACAAGCTACCTTCCTTCAATTTAAACTTTCGGGTTTGTCTTTTGTATTACAGTGTGAATATTTTTGGCATGATTTCTTTTCAACAATAGGATATTTATTGGTTTCCATAAAATGTATACGATATGCTCAATTGAGCGTTTTTGATTTCTGTATTTCACTTACAATTGCATAGCTATTGCCTCCCACGATTCCATTATACTACCGATTGATGACTAAACCGTTTCTGTGTACTATATGTACTCGTATATTGTCGTGCGTTTAAATATGTAGATATATAAACAAATCAGGTTTCTTTATACGAGTATAAGTGTAAAATCGCGTCAAACACAATCTTATCACGCTCTATCGCTTAACTGATCTACCACAAGGCTCGGAGCATGAAACACAATGCAATCCATCCATCAATTCATCGATTTTTTAGAAATCATTCATTAAACAAATTGCGACTCAGCGTAACACAGTCAGAACTGAACTGAGTCAGTGACGGCAATTAAGCGCAGAGCGACATCATAACTCGATTGTTAAACGCACAGAAATAGCAACTGAGCAGCTTTTGTTCCTTTTCTGGCATCTAGCCATTGTTATTGTTAGCTGAATGAGAAGTACGTATCAACAAGAACAACAACAACAACAACATATTAGGAGCACCACGCGTTTCAATTAATAAAATAGTCATAATTAAATTAAACAGAGCGAGAAGCCTTGCCATCGCAAACTACGTAATCACATGCCTGCTATATAAATATGAACACCATCTATACTCGTACCCGCAAATAGCTGGCCGCTAAATATTCATACAAAGGTGCTTTGCAACTTATCATAAAGATTATATGCTTTATCAAGTCATTTTTATATTTTTAATTTTTGAAGGCGGTGTTTTCTTTAGCTAAAGCTAATTTCGGTTTACAGTATTACTGCATGTTGATACTACTTGTATGTGAGGATAAACTAATCAGTATAGGAAAGCGCCTGAAAACCTTAAAATTTTTCATTAAGTGTATAAGGAAAGCTGCATTTATGCAGAAAGACCGGTGGAGATAAACTAAAACTCTTAGGAATTATTTTATTGTTTGCTCGATATTTGGTATTGTACTTATGAGAAACTACAAGGGGATTTATTAAAGGGCACATAATTTTGGTGCAGGCGAAAAAAACTTCTTAGGTCGATCTTTAAAATTTAAACAACTTCTAAATAAATGTGTTCAAAATAATAAAAAAAAAATTCAAATTCTGCTTAACAAGTTTGCCGAGGTTCAGTTCAAAATTTTTTAATATGATTGATTACACATATACGCGGAAATTGACATCTTAATTTATCTCGGCATGCTGAGGTGTAGACCCCTACGGGTAGCCGTATAATGTCTCAAATTTTGCTATAAAATAACATACTCTTAAGGTTCTCAACGAACAAAGACGATTGCTAGTCAACTTAAGGGTATGTGAAAGTGAATCTTTGTTTTGATTTGATTTTATTTCCTTTTAGGAAATTCGGTTTGAGGGCATAATTTTATATGCATTTTAAATAGGCAACGGAAAATATTAAAACACTTTCCATACACAGATTATTATTAAACCAGATCCGGCTGAAACCGACATGTTATTTACCTGTCACATTAGGGAATTTTAAGCCTGGGAGACTGTCTTTTGTTTTAGTTTGTTGTCAAAATATAATTAATATAAGATCTCGAGTCCGTTAAAATATGACAAATTCTTATATATGCATATGAATTGAATTGCTTTAATTTGTAAAGTTGCCAAATAAAATGTTGGTTTTTAAATATGTCCAGAAAATTAAAGCTGATAATTGGGAACACTTCAGAGTGACCTTAAACAAATTTCTAGTTAGTGATTTGATGGGTAATAGGAGCATAAGACGTATACTAGTATGCACGAGTATGTGCCCAGCACGTGTATGTGCTTGTGCCATAAATTTAAATGGCGGTTTAGCAAAGGCCAAAATAACAAGAGGCCATGTAACACAATGGGGCCATATAGAGACACAGATATAGATGTAGATACAGATTCTGATACTGACACATGGAGACAATAACTGCTACTGCTGCACTTTTGCAGCTTCAACTGCTATTTGTCCGTCCAACCGACTGACAGCTCGCCCTGAATCTGTCACATACTGTTTAGAGATGGTTGCGGAGAGACAGACAGAGACTGTAGTGAAGGGCTTACCCTCCCAGCTAGACAGCTCAATTTAAATTACTTTCAATTGCAAGAGTTGCTCCTCTGGAGTTCTCAGACATATGTACGTAAATATATATTTATATATTTACAAGTTCCGGCCGGGCTAAAGAACATCAACATTAATTAAACAATCACTTAATGGCTTACTGTGATAAGATACATAATACCTATGTATGTACATATATTTAGAGTTGAATATAGTACTTGTAAATTATTTTCAGAGTAGTAAAAAGTGGGAAGCGTCTCTCTTTCTTCTATCGCCGAACCTTTTTCGGATGCTTTCTATATAATACTGAAGGGGCGAAAAATATCAAAAGCATGAAAACATGGTATTTTGAGGTAAAAATGTAAATCAATATGAAAGTAAAATAATACATACATATTAAAAGTATTTCATTGAAATGTTGAACGGCTTCCAGAAAGATTAAAAAAAATAAAAATGCATCATTTGTGTTATTTATACAAAAAAGATATACATAGTTGTGCAATGGACATTGACTTTGAAAATACTGAACATCACTATGACAGCTATTTGATATAGCAGTGCGATTTGGAACCAATTAAAATATGTTGTAACAATATATAATACCATAGTTAGTTTTCTTGAGATTGTTTAAACAACACAGATATAGCGGTCGTATTTGATTTTTGGATTTTATGTAGACGACTCTTCTCTTCCTACTCTAGTATACAAACCATTAATAGTTTGTCTTAAGCTTAAACATACTCGTATGTAACTATATATGTATTTGATTTATTCATGTACATATTAAGTGTACAAATTACGCAGGTGAGTTCTTAGATACATTGATTTACGATTTTACTTTCGATATTAATTATTAAGACCCATTCAAAGTAACACGTCGTAAGCATGATAAATCAGAGAATTATTTGTATTTTTTTATGTTTCGCGCACACGCGCTTTGGTTGTTTACTCAATATGTAAACAAATAAACATACAGCCAGACAGAATGATGTCGAGCAAGCCCGACTGTGGGATACTCTGTACCCAAACAATCTCCCGCCTCTTTGTTAAATGCACACATAGTAGAAGCAAAAAGAAGCGAACTTGCTGCAGTTTTTGGGCGTAAAAGTGAAGTAAAATTGCTTCTCTAACATTTCTCAGAATTTATATACTATTTGTATGAAATTCGAAACTAAACTAGAAGTATGTATGTAATCTTATGTAGCTCTAAGACTTGTCGGCAATATAAACGTGTGGGTGGGGGCTGATAAATAAAAAAAAAAAATTAAAATAGTTTAGCGGCTGGGAAAGCCTGCATACATAGTTCGATTAATGTGGCCTCAGTCGTTTTTGAAATCCAGACGTTTATTCTAAACGGACGGACGGTTTGTCTCGTTATTAGAGCCTGTACTCAAAGGGTTTTTATTTAATTTAATTAATTTAATTTTTTTTTATAATTTTCCTTTTTTGTGGAGATTGCAGGGTATTTACTGTCGGGCTTGCTCGCCTGTAGCGTTCTCTCTTGTTCTGAATAAATATGTACACATTTTATGGGGCCGGAGATGTTTCCTTCTGCCTCTTACAAACTTTGCACAAACCTATTATATACTCTTCACGCTTCGTGTACAGGGTATAAAAACGACATTGGCTAAATTAACAATCAAATAAAATTCATGTCGCTCTTCATATGTAGATACGTTTGAAAAGATAGATTTAAATATTTTCATACATGTGTATGTATGTACGAGTATGACGGACTTTTGTTTTCTCACCGCATTGTGTTGCAAACATTGAAACTCGATAGGTAGTGAGTGAGAGCCATAACTAAGGCACAATAACAATGGAATTGATATGGGAATTGTATAAGTTGCGGTGATAAAATAAAGTTTTAAAAACAACTGCTCAGTTGACTGATGAGCTAAATGACTACGATTATAAACATCGCACATATGCACCCATACAGATGTACTTTATATGTAGTATGTACATCTGTACATACATACTTACATATACATATGCCTATTTTATAGCGATTATTAATAGTGGCACCAGTAAGTAGAAAGAGCAGGCCGACCGGCCGAAGTCTCTTGGTCCCCGTACTTCATGGTCACTGCAGGCAAAGTGCATTGACACAAGCAGCAGCAACAACAGAAACAACATCTTGATAAACGCGTATTTGAGTTAAAGTTTTCATTTCGGTATTTGCATGCTACGAGATTTGTTTAGCTGTTAGGCAGACGGATTGTGTTGGTAGAATCTGCGACGCAACACAATTAATTATAGCAATAGGAAACCATAATAACAACAACAATATTAACAAATGGCGCTAAATGCTAAAATAAACAGTAATCCAGGGGGCGTAGTTGAGGGAATACATACATATGCATACATGCGTCCATATGTACATATATAATACATACATACTTGTATGACGCTTTTAACGGCACTTATGAGTGTCAACACACAATAACAACAAAAACCAACAGCAACAACACGAGAAGCCGGTTTACATTTTATGTAAAGAGAGTGAGAGGAACACCCAAAGCTACAGCATAAGCATAATGGCCAAGGGATTAGAAGCCTAACCATTCGAATGTTGTAGTTGGAGTAATTATTTACTAATGGAGTATGTAAGTAGTAATTAGCTTACCTTGCCAGTCTTATTAGAGCCATTTTGGTTCCCTTAATGATTTCGTTGAATCTTTGCAAAAGTTATATAAAAAGTTAAAGCTAAGAAAATTCGTTTGCTTATTTGTTACTGTTTATTGGCAGTGCACAAATAACGGCTCAGGCAGGACACATAGACGGAGATGTGGAGAGTGGTTTGCGAAGGTGGCGAAGTGGTGGCGGCGGCGGCGGCAACTACAGGGCTGCTTGCAAATTTTCTTTTGTTGTCTGCGGCTGCACAAACACACACATATGTACATATGTATGTGTATATGTAGTTAACCAATACACCGACACGGAGTAAAAAAAACAACAGCAAATTGCGCGCGCACACAATTTTTTCTTTTTGTATTTGCCGTTTAATTTATTTGTTTACATTTTTAAACGTGCACTGAATTTTTTTCTTAATTTCTTTGTAAAACTTTATGCGACGCACTTTGTTTGGCATAGAACGCAAAATTTGAATAAGTTTGTGCGCAGAAGAAGGCAGAGCGGTGACGGCGACCGGCGAAATTGCAGTGGTTGTTAATAGTTGTTGTTGGACCTTTGGCTGCAACTACACATGCTCTGCTCTCTCTGTTTAGCTGTGTGCCGTGTTTTTGTTAAATATGTATCTCTGCACAAACGTTTTCAGCTGCTACAATATCGTGGGACAACTTTAAAAACAAGAAGTAGTTGTTATTGCACTTTGGTTCGTTGCTAGCACGCGCATTCAACTAAAATCGACCGACCAATTCAAGCGCGTTCTCAGGAATGTCGCTCAGCTGTTTTCTTAATTTCCAAAGGTACGCAGCATGGTAGAACAAATACGGTATGCCATTATAGGCTGCATCTTTTGCACTCTCACCGCGCAAGTACGTCACAATATGATTCGCGAGAGCACCGCGCGAGTAGTGAGCACTCAATATTAACCAGCTCTGTCACTATGGCGCTATCGATATATGAATTGTGTTTACTATCGACGCTTTTCTTACTATCGAAAATAGACTATTTTTACTTGCAACACGGCTTTCTTGTATTCATGGAACCAAATTCGCAGAGGGAGCTTTCTTTCTTAAAGAATAGAATGTTGACACGCGTATTTACCTTAACAAAAATTACTCAATATCGAAAGTTAAATGACTTTAAGGTAAATTCAAATGCATTTAATCTCCTACTACCTAATAAATGGTAACTTTCGACATATGCACACAATTTAAATAATATAAAAACTAAGCTATCGATATTATATTTTATACATCGAATGGGGCCACTATTGATAGTTTTGCACAGTACGTATGCAAGTGGCAGCACTGACCATTGGGCGCGATATTTGAAATCAAAACGTATACCCTTATATGCGGCGTTCTAATATTTTGTGCTAATGAAATAGGGGGATTAAAGATACAATGCATGAGGGTATGCCATGTATTGTGACGTCAGACAAAGCGAACCCCAACTACCAGACCTTCGCAATGGTAATTCCGTGTTTGTTTTACCATTTCTGCTCTTATACTTGTTCTTACGTCGTGACTTTATCGCAAGAAGGTTGGTACAAGTAACTAAAGTTTGTGCTGCCATCTAGCGTGTCGAATTAATAACAAAAGTATATACTGTGTAGGTGGCGTGTTAATTAAATTGATAGCATGACATTTTGATTCTAACTGATTATTGGAATAATTAATTAATAATTTCGACTGTAAGTGCGAGTATAAATATACACACCTGGATAAAGTAATAGAAGTAAACCGGAAAATTTGTAAAATATGGTGATAAAATTATGTGGCGATGTTGTACAATCTTAAAACCAATTTTAACACTAGAAAGACCGGGTTTCTTACTATACCTTCAAAGACCGTAGCGGTCAATTTGACGGTATAAGGGATTTATTTTTTTAATTTATATAAAAAAACGGTACCAATTTATTTTTTGTTCAAAATAACTAACTTTATTAGTTATTATTTATTTGACATTGCCGTCTCTCATTGTTTGTTAGTACTTATTTCAGAACTATTGTAATGCTTAGATTTTTTTCGCTTACTCTACACATACACGTAGATCGCCTCCAAGTTGAAGGATAATTTATTCCTGTTACCTTTCGGAACAGAATCGACAAAATCAAGTATATTGTAAAAACCCGAATGGGCCATCTTCCAGTTCCAGCTCTTTTTCCATTACCTATGCTCATGTTGGAGTGCAGAGTACTCAAAATAATAACATTTTTCCTGATTTTAATAGATAGACGATCTCTGTTTTCATTATAAACGTTTTATATCTAGTAGAACGAGTAGATATACAAATCGGCGGTACTGCTCGTCTTGCGTACCGCATTTTTCTAACAATACTTGTCTTTTCGACCATTAGGTTTTTAGCCAAATTTAGAGACGTGAAAAAGTTGTTAATGGTAACATCCTATATGTCCTAGCTCAACGTCCACCTCGCGCTGTTCGCCCACCACTAATGGATCTACCAGAACCCCGCGTCCTTTACATTATTGTTATTTGTAGCAGGGAAATCTACTTCGGAGTCTTCAGATGATGAAGTGACCTGTTCCCGTTGAAATTCTGCATCACGGGTTTCAAATAGATTGTCTGATAAATCATCACAAATTTCATCACTTGACAAATCTTGTTGTACGTCCCGCGACAGTTCTTGTTCTATTTCAGAAGTAGTGAGACGGAATTTTTGTAGCAAATCACGATTTTTCACAACAACACCTAACTTAGAACTCTAAATAAATAAAAACAGGAGCCCCCGCATTAGTTTGTACACAACTTTGTTTAGTACTTGTCACTGCTCTCATATGCGGTTAATTTGACGGTGTGTGGTCTTAGTAGGTATTTGTAATGGAATCTTATTTACTACAGATAATTTAATAGTTTTTTGTATAGATTTAGATTTATAGATTATAGATTTATAGATTATCAAATTAGGAAAAGTCATAAAATATGAAAAGAACCAAAAACATTGTTCGTAAAATATTTAAGAATGAAATCGCCGAACCGTCAAATTGACCGCCGTGGTCTTTCTAGTGTTAAAGTGTGGTAGTTCTATTTTGAAATGAAATGGGGAAATCCCCGAAATTAGAGTTCATCTTGATAAATATTGCGGCTTGTTTATTTGTTCAATGTTCAAATTGAGTTGGACAATAGAAGAATTGTGTTTTGGTACTAATTTAAAAAAATCGAGTAAATATTGAAAGTTTATAAATTTATAGTAACATTTAGTTGCAGAAGGAAAGCTTTTATGGAAAATAAACTATATGAATGTTTAATTATAATATTACAATACTATAAGATGGGTCATGGAGTACATTGCAGTGCAGAGAGGAGAAAAAACTAGTTCGTCAGCTTAGAAATGATGGAAACACCTACAAATTTATTGTCAGATCAATGGGACGGTCTGAAAATTTCGTAGCTAATGCTCTCAAACCAGACAAATCCATCGGAACACGTGGAGCACAAAAAAAAAAACCTCACCAACGACCTACATTCGCATCGCTACGTTAGCTAAACGCAACCCGTTTATGTCTTCCAGAACAGTTTCAAGCGAAATTGCAAGTGTTGTGTCTTCACGATCTGTTAGGCGACGATTAGAAAGCGCAAATCAACCCGGCAGGATCGCTCGTAAAGTTCCTCTGCTTAGCCACAGGGAGTGCAGAAATGCCGTAACGTTCTCTGGAATGATGGAACAAGGATAATCTTGTTTGGTAACGATGCGGAAGAAACGTTCGCCGCCAAAATGGCAAAGAATTCCACATTAGGTTCACAAAAAAAACTGTGAAGCACTGAGGGGGAGGCTGGTATGGGGCTGTTTTTCGTAGGTCCAATACATCGAATTGAAGGCGTAATGGATAGATTCGTGCATAGGGCATGCCGAGGTCAATGTGCCTCTTATGTTGAAAGCTCAACAGTATAATTTAATATAATAATATATATAATAACATTCAATAATATAATAACATTCATCGCGAGATGTTAAAGAATGGTTCCAAACGTCCTTGAGTGGTCAAGTCAACCCCCAGACCTCAATCCCATTGGAACCTTTGGGGAGAACTTAAGCAAGGAATTTCAAAGATGGTTGCCAAAATAAAATGCAGGTTTGGGAAAATATTGGTAAATGAACAGAATTTCCGCTGACTTAATAGAGAACAATAAAAAATCAATAAAAAAATATTCTGTATTTTTTTTAGAAGGTTGGCCGTCAGTTTGATAAATTAGGCCAACAGAAGGCTTGAATTTATAGATTCATGTACTTAGACATACGAGCTTATATTCCAATCCAATCTTTGTGTACTTAATAAAGGTGGCAAAATCGGATTTTCGGTTGATTTTCTGTCAAAGCAACCATCATCGCTTATTCTGTCAGAATCAATGCATTGTGAAATTTGTAAATGGAAATACTCTGAGGCTCAGCAGCAACATTTAATACTTTTTCTTAGTTTTTATGCAAGTATATTTAATTTTTGATAAGTTGCTCCAAATTTGCGAAAATGTGGGAGGAATTGGAGATTTTTCACGATTTTTCACAACAACACCTAACTTAGAACTCTAAATAAATAAAAACAGGAGCCCCCGCATTAGTTTGTACACAACTTTGTTTAGTACTTGTCACTGCTCTCATATGCGGTTAATTTGACGGTGTGTGGTCTTAGTAGGTATTTGTAATGGAATCTTATTTACTACACATAATTTAATAGTTTTTTATATAGATTTAGATTTATAGATTATAGATTTATAGATTATCAAATTAGGAAAAGTCATAAAATATGAAAAGAACCAAAAACATTGTTCGTAAAATATTTAAGAATGAAATCGCCGAACCGTCAAATTGACCGCCGTGGTCTTTCTAGTGTTAAAGTGTGGTAGTTCTATTTTGAAATGAAATGGGGAAATCCCCGAAATTAGAGTTCATCTTGATAAATATTGCGGCTTGTTTATTTGTTCAATGTTCAAATTGAGTTGGACAATAGAAGAATTGTGTTTTGGTACTAATTTAAAAAAATCGAGTAAATATTGAAAGTTTATAAATTTATAGTAACATTTAGTTGCAGAAGGAAAGCTTTTATGGAAAATAAACTATATGAATGTTTAATTATAATATTACAATACTATAAGATGGGTCATGGAGTACATTGCAGTGCAGAGAGGAGAAAAAACTAGTTCGTCAGCTTAGAAATGATGGAAACACCTACAAATTTATTGTCAGATCAATGGGACGGTCTGAAAATTTCGTAGCTAATGCTCTCAAACCAGACAAATCCATCGGAACACGTGGAGCACAAAAAAAAAAACCTCACCAACGACCTACATTCGCATCGCTACGTTAGCTAAACGCAACCCGTTTATGTCTTCCAGAACAGTTTCAAGCGAAATTGCAAGTGTTGTGTCTTCACGATCTGTTAGGCGACGATTAGAAAGCGCAAATCAACCCGGCAGGATCGCTCGTAAAGTTCCTCTGCTTAGCCACAGGGAGTGCAGAAATGCCGTAACGTTCTCTGGAATGATGGAACAAGGATAATCTTGTTTGGTAACGATGCGGAAGAAACGTTCGCCGCCAAAATGGCAAAGAATTCCACATTAGGTTCACAAAAAAAACTGTGAAGCACTGAGGGGGAGGCTGGTATGGGGCTGTTTTTCGTAGGTCCAATACATCGAATTGAAGGCGTAATGGATAGATTCGTGCATAGGGCATGCCGAGGTCAATGTGCCTCTTATGTTGAAAGCTCAACAGTATAATTTAATATAATAATATATATAATAACATTCAATAATATAATAACATTCATCGCGAGATGTTAAAGAATGGTTCCAAACGTCCTTGAGTGGTCAAGTCAACCCCCAGACCTCAATCCCATTGGAACCTTTGGGGAGAACTTAAGCAAGGAATTTCAAAGATGGTTGCCAAAATAAAATGCAGGTTTGGGAAAATATTGGTAAATGAACAGAATTTCCGCTGACTTAATAGAGAACAATAAAAAATCAATAAAAAAATATTCTGTATTTTTTTTAGAAGGTTGGCCGTCAGTTTGATAAATTAGGCCAACAGAAGGCTTGAATTTATAGATTCATGTACTTAGACATACGAGCTTATATTCCAATCCAATCTTTGTGTACTTAATAAAGGTGGCAAAATCGGATTTTCGGTTGATTTTCTGTCAAAGCAACCATCATCGCTTATTCTGTCAGAATCAATGCATTGTGAAATTTGTAAATGGAAATACTCTGAGGCTCAGCAGCAACATTTAATACTTTTTCTTAGTTTTTATGCAAGTATATTTAATTTTTGATAAGTTGCTCCAAATTTGCGAAAATGTGGGAGGAATTGGAGATTTTTCACGATTTTTCACAACAACACCTAACTTAGAACTCTAAATAAATAAAAACAGGAGCCCCCGCATTAGTTTGTACACAACTTTGTTTAGTACTTGTCACTGCTCTCATATGCGGTTAATTTGACGGTGTGTGGTCTTAGTAGGTATTTGTAATGGAATCTTATTTACTACACATAATTTAATAGTTTTTTATATAGATTTAGATTTATAGATTATAGATTTATAGATTATCAAATTAGGAAAAGTCATAAAATATGAAAAGAACCAAAAACATTGTTCGTAAAATATTTAAGAATGAAATCGCCGAACCGTCAAATTGACCGCCGTGGTCTTTCTAGTGTTAAAGTGTGGTAGTTCTATTTTGAAATGAAATGGGGAAATCCCCGAAATTAGAGTTCATCTTGATAAATATTGCGGCTTGTTTATTTGTTCAATGTTCAAATTGAGTTGGACAATAGAAGAATTGTGTTTTGGTACTAATTTAAAAAAATCGAGTAAATATTGAAAGTTTATAAATTTATAGTAACATTTAGTTGCAGAAGGAAAGCTTTTATGGAAAATAAACTATATGAATGTTTAATTATAATATTACAATACTATAAGATGGGTCATGGAGTACATTGCAGTGCAGAGAGGAGAAAAAACTAGTTCGTCAGCTTAGAAATGATGGAAACACCTACAAATTTATTGTCAGATCAATGGGACGGTCTGAAAATTTCGTAGCTAATGCTCTCAAACCAGACAAATCCATCGGAACACGTGGAGCACAAAAAAAAAAACCTCACCAACGACCTACATTCGCATCGCTACGTTAGCTAAACGCAACCCGTTTATGTCTTCCAGAACAGTTTCAAGCGAAATTGCAAGTGTTGTGTCTTCACGATCTGTTAGGCGACGATTAGAAAGCGCAAATCAACCCGGCAGGATCGCTCGTAAAGTTCCTCTGCTTAGCCACAGGGAGTGCAGAAATGCCGTAACGTTCTCTGGAATGATGGAACAAGGATAATCTTGTTTGGTAACGATGCGGAAGAAACGTTCGCCGCCAAAATGGCAAAGAATTCCACATTAGGTTCACAAAAAAAACTGTGAAGCACTGAGGGGGAGGCTGGTATGGGGCTGTTTTTCGTAGGTCCAATACATCGAATTGAAGGCGTAATGGATAGATTCGTGCATAGGGCATGCCGAGGTCAATGTGCCTCTTATGTTGAAAGCTCAACAGTATAATTTAATATAATAATATATATAATAACATTCAATAATATAATAACATTCATCGCGAGATGTTAAAGAATGGTTCCAAACGTCCTTGAGTGGTCAAGTCAACCCCCAGACCTCAATCCCATTGGAACCTTTGGGGAGAACTTAAGCAAGGAATTTCAAAGATGGTTGCCAAAATAAAATGCAGGTTTGGGAAAATATTGGTAAATGAACAGAATTTCCGCTGACTTAATAGAGACCAATAAAAAATCAATAAAAAAATATTCTGTATTTTTTTTAGAAGGTTGGCCGTCAGTTTGATAAATTAGGCCAACAGAAGGCTTGAATTTATAGATTCATGTACTTAGACATACGAGCTTATATTCCAATCCAATCTTTGTGTACTTAATAAAGGTGGCAAAATCGGATTTTCGGTTGATTTTCTGTCAAAGCAACCATCATCGCTTATTCTGTCAGAATCAATGCATTGTGAAATTTGTAAATGGAAATACTCTGAGGCTCAGCAGCAACATTTAATACTTTTTCTTAGTTTTTATGCAAGTATATTTAATTTTTGATAAGTTGCTCCAAATTTGCGAAAATGTGGGAGGAATTGGAGAGATATAGGAATCATTTCCTGCAACATGAAATCAAAACTGTGCTGAAGCCGAGCTCCATAAATCGTCAGCAAGAACGAGGTAAGTGTGAGGGCTCTGCGAGGAGGAGACTCCCTTAATGTCCAACGTTCCAGAATGGCGGGAGTTTATGGATAAGCGCGAGTGCTGCAAGCGCTTTCCACAACGCTGCACCTTTAGCTCAACCTATTTTGAGGATCGGGCTCAGTTGGCTTACGGATGGTTTGCCTTGCCCAAGTTGATGCGTGAATTGGACAGTGATAGCCACTTGACCCATTGGCGTGCTATTGTTTCGTTGTCAGAGTTTTTGTTAAATCCATTGAATGCCCAACGCGCCACCCTCGAGATGGATATCGTGCGAAAGTAAGTTGCGAAGTATAGTATTAGAGTTCAGTAATAGGTTGAAATTGTGCCTTTGCAGGTTGAAGAACTCGTTTATGCGTATGCGCCTGAAACATCACACGGAGCACTATCGTGAGATCGAAATTTATTTAAAGATCTATAGTAAGTAACGCATGTAGGCGCATGTATAGTAAGATCCAAATGCCTAACTTGACCGCCCACTTAGATGTGCTCTCAAGGAATTTAAATGCCGCCGAGAGGATCGCCTCGCGGAAATGCCTCATGAGTGAGTTCTACAAGATATTAATGGAAAAGTGTACATACAAGCAGGAATTGACAGCTGAGATATTGCGGAATTTAACGGGAAAACCAGAAGGTAAGTTGTCATCAATAAAAAGAAGCACTTGGTATTTGAATATGCTTCCCCTTAGTGCTCGGCATAGTGCTGGAAGATCCGGACAATATTGCCGCTACTGCGAGCATCTTTCAGCAGGATCCCTGCAAGTCCGTTTATCCGCTTGACTTGTGGCATCATTTGTGCCATTTACTGGAGCTGGTGCCAGATCAGGGCATCAAGTTGGGTTTATTTGAGTTTTTGCACTCACGCATTTACAATCGATTGCCAAAGTTCTGGGAAATGTCCACCAAGGCGTTCGCCTTGCTCTTGCGTTGCGAGGAAGGCCAGAAGCGGTTCGACGACATCGATGGCATCAAGTTGATACACGACGTATTTCAGGACGCGTCTCGGAAGGATTTAAGGAAATTGCCATTCCAAATTGTCGAAAACTTTGAATATACCGTGCTCGCTCTGCTCAATGGCCTGCACAGCAAACGGGCCTTGTGGCGTTGTCGGGAGTTCACCGAACTGCCCTGTTTTGTGGGTCGACTGATGTCCACGGAAACGAATCCACGCCTGCAATTGTACTGCCTGAAGGCTCTGCGTGAGATGGGAATGATGCCATGCATCAAGCGGTATATTATTGGAAATTGGTTGCTCGAGATCCGCCAGCTCTTCTGCCTGGATGCAGATGCGGAATGTGCTCGCGATGAATTGGTAGACTGGCTTCGTCGCGACATTGCAGACAGCAGCTCCTAAGATAATTTGCATGTTCATCTAAGCTCAAGTTATAGCTAATTATTGATTTTTGGAGTTATTAAATATGTTCAAATTCCTTGGTGAGCGCAGCGTAAACGCTTTTCTATTACTTCATTTGAAAAACATACCAGGATTTCCCCAGGCTGTTACCCCTTAGTTTATAGTATATCTTGTCCCAAAGAGCGGCTATCTAATAGACTAAAAATATAAGAGAAGGAGAAAAGGCGAGAGAGAAATCTGAAAAGGACATTACCAGCTGCCAGCTGTTTGCGCCAACTTGTGCGTCAAATCGTATCAATGGAGAAGTATTTGAAAAGTAAACACTCTGCTCCATAATAATCCCCACAAGAATCTTAATTTCAAGTTTAAATAACAAGCCATCAACTAGTTCAAGTAGAGGCAGTTTTATTGGTATTCAGAGCTTTTAAATTTTCCGCATCGGATTAAAATACGAGACTGATATTTAAATGAAAAAAATATTCGCATCGACTAATAAAATATAATAAACATGCCAAAAACATGTTTAACAAACATTTCATTTTACAGATTACGCATTTTATTATACGCATTATTATAATGTTTTGTTTGCCGGATTTGTTGAAATGTTGCAGTATACTTTATTTATATTTGATTTCTCCTATGTATTTATTTTTGTCGACAAACAGAAGCCGTGAAAGCCAAATCTAATCATATTACTCGTGGGGGGTGGCAAAGATTTTTTTAGTCAGTTCGGAAAGCTAAGTCCGTCGCACAGCCGTGTGTGGTCAGAGATTCTGGAGGTAGTTGAAATGATTGTGCAATTCATAATCAGTTGTTCATCTATTAACAAATCAAAAGCTATATTTGAGAATATTTTATAATATTGTGTAAGCTTACATAATAAATAAGTCCTTTTTATTAGCAAATATAAGTGGGCAGCCAAATAATTCCACGATACTGAAGGATATCGTGATAACATAAGTCTCCCATCAAAATAATAAATTTAAATACTCTCCCTGCAATACCAAGGAGGTTAAACAAAGATGCAATGCAAGAGTATTTTAAATAGGAGAGTGTCGTGACTTACAATGCATCAAAATAAATAAGTATCAGAGAGATTTTAAAAGTTTTCCTGGCTTATGGAGTCATAGTCAACATATTAGGCCCGTCCTCCACATTTAGTCCTCCATTTAAGAACATAGTTTCTTGTTGTTGTGAAAGGAACTGAGATCAAGGCGACTTAAAGAAGAATCGACACTTCGGACAGTCAATTTGCGAGGCAATAGAACTCCAAGTTCCCTTATCCGATTAGCAAAGGAAGATTTATGAGCAGAAGTTTGGGATCCCAGGTTGAGCCACAAAGAGCTTCAAGAAGGAATTATTACTGAACCGACTGTATTCGATCCTGTTTCGTTTTATGATGCGTATTTATTATGTATTTAAAATTAATGCAATTTCCAATACGCCATCGGCAATACTTTTTTATAAATCGCGCATAAAAATACAAATGAATGTATATTTTGGAAAAATATATAATATTTATGAATGCAACTAAATCAGCATTCGAAACAAAAATGTAAATCAGTAGCTAATTGAAATATACAAAATTTGGTTCACAGATATTTCTGTTACATTCGCAGTAGACCTTTTGAGGAGAAAGGGATTTAAATTATATGGCGAATATTAAAGTTTAGAAGAAACTTGTTCGGCTTGAAAATTTGTTAAATGGCCCTGCATAAAACTCTTCCACTCTGGAATCAGTGGAATAGGTTGGCGAACGGATTAAAGGGTGTTTGGAGCTAACTCTGGGAACAAATATGATAAACATGTATACCCTAATATGTACTCGTATGTTGTGACTAAATAAATACAATAAATTTATCTTTGTATACATTCACATGTAATATTATTTACTATAAATATATATAGTATTTGGGAATATACTAATGCAAATTGTTACGCTCATTTCTACCTTATCCTGAACGGAACACTATATTTATTTTAATTCAGTGTAAAAAATTACCATGTATACTCTTCATTGTCTGATGCTAGTTTAATGGCGGTTAGGACCATTGCAAAAAAAAAAAAAAAAACAATTTACCACATTTTATAATTAAATTTTATAAATCAAATTAAATTTATTACTCGGCTGTTGAATGTGTTGGTCGCATAATGCTTAGAAATATTCGAAAATACAAAGTGGAGTAAAATAATAATAAAGGCATATAGGACAAGTTTTCATTATTTTACCACCATTCATGTACTTATACTTGTAGAGGAATTTTAAAGATTTCTTTCTATACAGCCGGAAAGACCGAAGAGTCAAGCGATAGATTGAAAAGCAAAACCAATGGCTTGAATAAGGATCTAGACCACTCTTAGTGGAATTAGGAACTAGGAATTGTCTGCGCCAGGAGATTATGAAGATTTGACGCAATATAAGATTTCCCTAGTATGTACTACTTGGTCCACAATATGTATAGGTACAAAAGCCTGGGCGGAAACAAAAACAAAAAGAAGCACAAAACCGAACGAATATTCCAAGAATTGACACATCTTGATGCCATTTCAGTAGCGAATTATATATTAATTTTTACCAGGGACCGCAAATAAAGATTATTTTGTTTTTTTCTTTAATGAAAAAATCATTCACTTGTAATAGCTCTGGGAAATTGAGGAAGTTACCAATATCGTTTTTATAGGATTATCTATGCATTTTCATCATGATTTAAAAATTGTAACTTTTATTATTATTTACTAATAATAATATCCTTTGAGTTTGTATCACAAAAATAAAACCCAAACTGTAATTTTTACCAAGTTGAACCAAGATGAACATGGCACTATCGATTCGTCTGGTCATGCTGATTAAGAATGTATGCATGGGGTCAGAGATGCTGCCTTTTCCCTGTTACAGACTTGAATTAATTCTTTTTAATCTTGGGGTATAGGGTATTAATATAATATTTGTGGCAAACTAAAACCACACAAATAGTATTTAAATACGGAGCGCAAAAGTAAAACTGCGTTCATTGTCAACAGAAGACTCCCTTCGATGATGAGGCAGATAAATTTCGAAGTATTACATTGAACAAAATACTTAAGGGGACAGCACTAAGTGCTTCATCAACAAACATAATTACTTAAGCAATTAGTTTTAGTGTTGGCCAAGAGAAGCTGTGTTCCAACTTCGTGCTGGAAAAGAAATGCGAATATGACATTGAATAAACAAGTTTTGCATAATTTTCCTGGAATTCTTTATAAGCCAGCAAGCAGGAAAGTACAAAAAGGAGAAGCAGAAAACGCTATGTGGTAATTAAAAAGTTCACAAAATAACTCAAGAATGTGGCGAAAAGGCGACGAGCAGACAGAAATGCAGTCTGACAGCCTGGCCATCCATCCAAAAACCCACCCACCGATGGCAGGGCACAGGCTTCTCAATTGGGATTGGTTTGGTCTATTCGTCCCTATACGTGAGCAGGGGCTCCGCAAAATGTTTACGGGCTGCTGCAAATAAATTAAAAAATGCAGCTCCTTGCCAAGTTTGTCACCGCAACAGTGGGAGCAAAAAGGATACCATTGAGGCTTGGCAACCGCAGCCAACGACAACAAACTGTGGTTGCCAGGGATAGGTTGTTGTTGCCTTGCTGTCTTTGTTGCCTTCACAGCAAAGGTCCATCGTGGTAATGTCATTGCTCATTACTTTTCTGCAAGCGGAAATTGGAAAAGTTCATTTTTTCAAAAACGTGGAGCTATGCATAAATAAGAAATAGTTGGAGCTCCAGTTGGCTCCAGCTTAAATATTGCAGCACACATTTAAAGAAGGGCATGTAAGTACACATGTACTCGTACGTAAGAGAACCAGATTCGATTATATTGGAAACTTATATGAGAAAGAGCGCTACGTGATTGACTCTCGGAAATTGAGTAAATTAGAGCCAATAGGTAGAACGAAGTAATAAATAGATGTTCGTGTGTCTTAGCTTATTTTTATAAAGAAATCAAATCAAAGCAAATAGAAATACACAAAATAAGCTGATATACCCCTTTGAAATGAAATTCCCAATTGGCAAAACAACATACTTTATGTGTACTATGTAACCACATTTAAATTGAACATACTTTTGTGCAAATCAAAATTCATATAAATAATAATTCTATAACTTAATTCTAATAATTTGTATACTCTGTACCCATCGAGTGGGTAAGAATGGAGTGTAAAGTATTTAAAGAGCAGAAACAAACACCGCGCATTATGAAATGCTTTATTATTTAAAGTACGAGTGTAACAAAAATCGGTTTACTTTATCATGTAGTTGTCAAAAGAATAATTGGCAACAAGGCTTATTTTAGTTGAATGATTTTATTGGGAAAATGTCGGGTGTCCCGACTTTGAAATACTCTGTACATATGTATGTGTAGAATAAGCACGGAAATTAAAAAAAAATAATTTTAAAATAATTTGTTACTGAAAATCTCCCTGGGGAATTATCGGTATGCAAAGTTTAGTTTATGTTGCTTTTTGGAATTATACACAATATTACCGTAATCTGTAGAGCGGAAGAATGGGAAAAATAAAAGATAAATTATACTCTTGTGGCCTAAGGATTATTAGGACTTACATAGCAGATTTGAACAATATAGGCTCAACCGCCGCCGAAATGCAGGCATTCATTCAGACAGAGGTTTAACTATACAAATAGCACGTCGCTGTAGAGGGAATTCGAGTATTCAATTCAATTCATATCCTGGAATGAACAATCATAATTTACGAATTTATAAAAGGGTGTTCAAATATACTAAACTGATGGATTATCTCTATCCTTGCGTTACAAGTAATAGGTTACTTTTAAGTTAACAATAACCTTAACAATACATATCATATAATTTCATCTAAACACATTTAATTTAATATTATTCTTACAGCTCCTATTTTTCCTAAGGCCTGATTGATTGTCACTTAATGGTGAGTTTCCTTCCAAGCAGTTAGAAATTTGTTTTGTCATTAGCGGTTCAAATGCTTTTGAAAGAAATGATAAACTATAAATTAGCCGGAAATCACTGCCTCCCTTAGGGATTATTTTCCCAAATTTCCACTCATACGGAAAGCATGAGGTTGTAAAAACTGAGTTAAAGATGTATGTAATATGCTTTTAAAAATGTTTGGTAAATTTGATCAAGATCAATGGCGTTTGACTTCCCTTTGAGGATGGAATCTAAAAAACACGTTCACACATAAAACAAAAACTAATATCACAGTTTAGCAACGAAGTATTGTTCAGGTACGTCTTTTCGTGAACTTCAGGTACTGCTAAATGTACAAATTTGTTGTTAAGCCCATCTACGTTTACGTCAAGTTTTGAAGAGGCTTTACATTTCCCAGTCCCTCATTTTTTACCTCCGGCCAAACTTCACTTGGGCTGTTGTGAATTTGGCAGAGTAAAGGGCTCGTCATAGATGATCTTCGGCCCAACTATTCGTCCAAGTAGCGCTTCCATATTTTGTAATCATGATGTCGGCTTTTTATCGCACAGCCAATATCTCTACTGAACCATTCGTTTGCGACTGGCTGGATTACTTTGGGGCTTCGAAATTGATGTTAAAGAAGGATAATCGTACATAGAGTACTCCAATTATTTTCATTTATCATCGGGCACAGTTCGTCGTTCAGCTGTCTAAATAATGGCATTACATACTTGTATGAGTGTGGCTAATGCCACCATTTGGGTGAGCCATAAAAACTAAGCTGCCTGACTAATGACAATGAATAGGCAAAGTGTTGTTTTCGTTTCTCGAGCCCACTATTCAGTCACGGGCCAGCACTTGAATGTGTGTTCCTCATGGCCTTCCTGCGCGCGTTTCGGCGGACCAACAACTATATCAGCGCCCATGCACTATTCCTGCTGCGGTTTTATCTGTGGCAGTACTATCATTTAGGGGTGTTGCGCCTGCGCTATGACCGCTCACGAAACGTTGTGCAACTCACGCGATACAGCATCACAGTGTCACGACTGTTGGGACTGCCCTTCCTGTTCCTGCTTAGTCTGGCACTCCATTATCCTTACAAGTTGTTGGTTTACATGCAACCTTTGGTATTTATGAGCTGCCTGGTCATGCAGCCCAGTCGTACCTACACGCAATGGATAGCGCTGATAAACCGTTTCCTCAACTTGGCTGTGCGGCTGTTCAGGATCAGCAGACGCAAGCTGAGGTTCTCTTGGTTTCTTATTGCCCAACTGGTGATCAAGTTTCTCACTCTGAAGCTGTACGTTCAGATGCTGACCCTTGACTTGATCGATGCGTTTCGATTTTTGCTGATTTTCGTGCTACCCACCTCGCTCTGCATATGGTGCATCGACATTAGCACGCACATCGTGAGCCTGACGTTGAGCATATTGCTCAAGTCGTTTGAGCTGCTGAACGAGGAGATAGAGGCCTGCAGCACGCAGCTGCAAGTGAAGATTATGCAGGCGGATTACCGCAATGTGGAGCGATTGAATAATCGGCTGCATGCTCTACAGCAGCTCTACATATCCTATTCGCGACTCACGCAGGACGTTCTGGACTGTTTGGCGGTCAAGCTGCTGCTCATCGTGGTCTACAATCTGTCCATGGTATATGCGCTTTCGCGTCACTGGCAGCGCTTCTTTGAGATCGGAGTGCTCCTTAATAGCGTGCGACTGCTCTTCCAGTTACTAGACAAGTTGGCGAATGCCATCTGCACGCCCTACGAGACCTCCTGGCAGCATTCAGCCCAGTTGCTGAGATTCAACGAAGTGCTATCAATGCACGGATGGTTGAGGCGCAGGCGCGATCTGGAACGCCAGGTTAATGGTTATACAGAGCTATATGCTCTGATTCAGCCGCAGTTGCAGGTGTTGGGACTTTTCACACCTAACCGACGAGCGTTTTTCCGCGTGCTCTTCTTCTACTGCAGCTATCTGTATCTGCACTACATGTGGCACAAACGCCTCCCAGTGGCTGAGCGTGAGATATTCTTGGTCATGTCCTTGGTTTTAAAAGAACGAAAACATTGATAAAAGTTGTAAGATAAAATATATTGTACAAATACACATACTATACACGATCACAAACAGCATATAGTATGCAGTCCAGTGCTTTTTAAGAAAAAGTAATCAAAATTCTTTAAATATTGGAAATACGTTATGCGCCAGCGATCATTTTTGTGAAACAGAATAGGTATAGGTCCAGTTATTTTTAAGAAAAAGTAATCCAAATTCTATTGGGAGGGATATTCTATGAGTTAGGTTGAAATTTGTAAACTTGTTTTAAATAAATATTACCGTTACTATCTGTGATGGCGTAATTGAAAAAAGATATACTAAATTCGTGTAAGCCAGACAATACAATAAATCAGCTAAAACTTACAATGCTTACAATGTACAAATAATGCAAAATACTTAAATATTAACTGGATGAAGAAAAGGAACAGATAGGTTATGTTATAGCCTGTGCTCAAAAGATAAAAGGCTATACTAGTTTTGTGTGAATGTATGTAACACACAGAAGGAGGCGTGGCAGACCCCACAAAGTATATACTATATATTCTTGATCAGGATGACAAGACGAGTGGATATAGCCATAGTATTGTATTGTATTGTTTAGTTCGTTTAGAAATAAAGTTTTATTTTACAATGCACACTGAAAGGTGTTTGGCTTCTTACTCTATGTACACCTAATAGGCTTTCTTTCTTGTTGTTGTTGCCTTGACAGAGTTAAAGAAGGCAATTGATTTCACTAACAATTTTTTGTTAAGGTAACAGTTCTCTCTTGAAGTTATTTTATAGTATATAATTTTTATAATTTTTAATCATTCTATTTAAGCAAAAACAAAAAGAAGAAGAGCGAACTCGATGAAGTTTGATCAGCTTGTGGGCGGTACCGGAGTACCAGATTAAAATTGTACCGTTAAAACCTTTTCTTAAAAGCGAAACTTGTACTAAAAGAATATAATTATATATTAATTGTATATACAAAGCTAAGTTAATGTAGCTTTGGAATTGTCGACAATATTGACAAATGTCTGTAGTGAGGAAAGGAAAATTTTGAATGGATCTATACTACGTACACAAATAAGAAATCGATGGTGTCTCTAGTTCTTATAGAATCGGGCATGTTGGTGGACTTACTTAATCGACTCGGCTGTTAATGCTGATCAAGAATATAAATACCCAATGCTGCCTTCTGCTTGTTACATTTATTAATTTCCACAAAATTAATATGCCCTTTATATGTACCTTGAAGCTACAGGGTATAAAAGCAGCATTTAGCTATTGGAAGTACATTGAAAGGAAATAAGTATAATAATACGTGAGTGATAGTTTATGATAGTTGCAACCAATTTCTAAATAGACTGTGCCTGCACCTTTGTTTAACACAAATATATGATGTGGCATCAATCGTATCAATATAAGATATATGTTAACCTATGTATATGCCGATAAAAAATGAGAAGAGAAATCGCTTTATATTAGATTTAAATTTTTTAAATTTTCCTATCCATACTCCTATATGTGCGAGTATATGTACATGGGGAGCAGAATTGGCTTAACCTTTTCGTATAGACATACCCGCTCACATACATTTACCCACTTAAATTGTCATTAACCTGCCTGTTATGCATAAAAACGGAAGTGAGACATAATAATAAAGCAACAAAATACAATTTTGGTCGTAAAAACACAAATAATGTTATAAATGCAGCCATAAAATTACAACAGAAACAATAACGCTTTGTTAGAGCTGTGGAGCGGGAGGCAGTCGGCAGTCGCCAGCCGGCAGCCTGGGAACCTGGAAACTCTGCCCAAAAATATTTTTAACTGATTGATACGCGTGCGTGTTAAAGTGATGTTGTGTGTACAATAGTGTTTGTGTGTGTGTGTGTCAACTTGCGTGCCAAAAACAATGTAAAATGTTGAGCCTCACACACGTGCAGACAAACACCACTGCAGACATCTAAACAAATACTCACACCCGCGTACATGCATACAAGTACATACAATATATACATACAATATATGTATATAGCTACATACACGTGTACATATATGTGTAGGTCTGCTGTGTGACATGTGACGAGGACGAGACGAGGATGTGTACAAGCTTCGTTGACTGACGCCAAAAAAGCAGCGCGCACAGCAAACAAATGACAAAAAATATGTAACAAAGTGTCGCACATGACACACCTACAAGGCACATATACACATACATGCATATATACATATGTGCCTGTGTATGTGAGTTGTTCATGTCCTGGCTGACAGCACACACACACATACATACATACATTCACATTTGCTGGCTTCGAGCACTGTGCTGTTTTACTTTTGGCTGCGCCGCGTTGGCTCCTCTTTATGGGGCATGTTGTTGCTCCCTTCAAGTGATGTGTGTGTGTGTGTGTGTGTGTATGTGTGAGTGTGTGTCGCTTTTGTGTCGTCATCGCATTCATGTCAAATTTATTTTTGTATTTTAGTGTAATTTTGTTGATTACAACGTTGCTGCCTTTGTTTGGCGCCGCTTCCTCCACCAGCTTTGAGTGTGTAATTTATTTCAAGTGATCTAAATTATATATACGAGTATGTGCGGATTAATGGAAATGTATTAGAAGCGATGCACGGGCTGAATCAGACGCTTTTTTCTTTTCGGATAAATCATTCGAAACAGGAAGGAGGGATGTGAGTTTTAATACAATTGCTGCTGGAATTAAAATGTCAAGCACATGTTTTCGATTACTCTAGTTTTGATATGAAATGTAAATAATAATAATAATATTACCTAGCCGACAGAATCGGCTTAATTTTAATTGGTTAATTTTAATTGGTTCAAAGCATTGGCCTAGGCTTTTAAGCAAAAGCTTTTCAATTGCGTCACATGCATAAATTTTCAGCTTTTTAAAGCTATCATCATCCTCGTACTGTACTGCCTAGTTTCTCAAGCATTCGTTTTATTTGATAAAACAAATTTTTGTCTGTATTTAGAACGCTCACAAAACACCCGAAAGTTAAAGGTCTGTAAGCGGGGGATAATTCGACCACGCATTCATCGATTTTTAGACATTTTCTTTTGTAAACAATTTATAGTGTTATTTCAGAATAAATAATATTAAAGGTATTTGAACAAAATAATGGCTTAATATATTTTAAGCTTCATTTAAACATTTTAAAAGTTACTCTGTTATTTACCTCTGATTTTATATAGGTCTATTCCTAGATTAACTGCTATTCTTACTTTATACATACATACATATATCTACATGTATTTACGATGATATCTATGCGGTGCCTTGCTCACCTGCCATAGTTAAAAACATGTAATAAAGTCATTAAAGCTGGCCGCGTGCTTAAACAAAGAAGGTAAAACTAATTTGACTTGGCATTAAAAATGGCGGCGGACGCAAATAACACGGCACATTGTTAATGGTCCATGCCCTGAAAAGTATGCTACACTTTATGCCTAACAACGCCATTTTACGCGCTCGGAAGGCAACATTATTACGTTTTATGTTTGTGCGGGCGGGCAAACAGAGGCCATGCTTCTGGTCCTGCTCCTGCTCCGGTTCTGGTTTCAGCTTTAACTCCGCCGTCAACTCGGACAGCTCCGCCTTGTGCATTGCCATGTTTAAGCTTGTTAATATAAAAATGCCCCGCGGCTGCCTGCGTGCTTTTCAGAACACGAAACGCACACAAATGTCTAATGAAATCTAATAAATTAAGTAGATTTATAAACGCGTTGCCCTCGGCCCTCTCTACTGCCTTGGCAGATTCTGTTGTCTCCTTTTAGCCGCCAGCTTAATTCTGGCCACTGTGTAACTTATGCCCATGACCAGGGCCTCATGATCCCCAGCTTCCATTCAGAAGCAGCTTACAGCATCTTCCAATTATTGGCTTTTCATTTGGCACATCAGCAGGCCGTAAATTTGAACAATGTGGGGAGGAGAGCCATTGTGTTGAGCCTGGTTGTACTTCGGCTGCCTTTTGTTGAAAATATATCTTTAAACTTTTGCTGTTAGTTGTCACACTTTGCTGTTGTTGTGTTGTTATTTTTGCCTCAGATCAAAGATTGCAGGAAAGTTATAAACAATGAAGCTGTTAACCTCAACTCGAGCTATGCGTGAGTGAACACTTCGAACTTTATTTAAAGCTTGCCTGTCTGGCAAAGATATTGATAACAACTGTGTATGTTTCCGTATCAAAAGAGATGCCAAAGGTTGAAGCTGAAGCATAATTAAAGCATATTTTAAAGTAGTACCAACATAATATACACACAAATTACAAAATCGTATGTATACGTGATAGTTATATACAGTCGGACCTTATTACAAATTATTACTTATAGTTTGCTTCCATTTACTTTTATAATTTCTTGCAAGAGCTTTTCTTATGTAAATAAGTTTTAATTAAAACATAAAATTTTACAGAAGTTTTCACACAATTCCAATTGGCTTCAGGCCTTTAGCCATTTTAGCCTCATTATGTGCAAATTTTCGAAGTAAATTTTATTCTTAATACGATTTGTGCCGAATGAGTAATGTTGGGAAATGTTCGTTCATTTCACGTTTATGTAAAAAGTCGAAAAATACACAAACCTTTTAATAAAAACATAATCTAAATAACTGTCTCGTGCAATTGATGAGACGCCCTGATAAGATAATACAATATTGTTAATATATGTTAATATAATGTGAAAACATTTCTTTTGAATCAAAACATTTACGTATTTTAAAGTTGACTTGTTCCTTGCTCCAGCAGAGAAGAACCATTCAACTTAAGTGTCACATTTTTGAGGTCGGACTGTGAGGCAGAGTTACAAGCCCCCTCTCTCTAAAATAAATAAACAAATATATATACAAGTAAAATTGTTTTGAATTGCATCTGCCAAGTGCAAGAAAATAGTTTTAAAGTCTTAGAGCCTGACCTGCATTGTGAATTTAATCATCATTTCATGAAATCTTTTAAGCGACTATGTTATAAATCTTTGTGTACATATGTACATACATATGTATGTATGTGCATAAATT